GATGCACGCTTATTCGCGGATCTTTGTTAATTAAAATCTCAGTAACTATTGCGAATTTAGCAAAATGGTATAGGACTTTTCGACTCAGTTTTATTCCTTCTACCTGCCTACGAGAGATGTTAAACCAATTCTGGGACACCCTGTATATTTAACATTTCTTACACAGGATCGCGTTAGATTGGAAGTTACTAATATGTTCAAAGAGAATGGCGATAAAGTTACCATGTCATCGTTGCAAAACTTATCATATTTAGATAGATGTATAAAGGAAACATTGCGCTTGTACCCAAGTGCACCTATTATAATGAGATTGACAACGGAAGATGTAAAATTACGTGCGTATATTAAGTGAATGTACAATAGAGATTTCTGAACACTTGATTGTGTAAAGAATGTATAATTTATGTATATTTTGTGTCTGTCTGGAAAACTTATTTCAAGTACGTTTATTTTATTATAATGATGAACAGATAGTACGCATGTGTCATATCTTGTTCGTGGAACACAGAAGTGTTTTTCAAACAAGTGTTTGAAAAACACTTCTGAAGAAAATATTATAAACCAGTATTAATTACTTACTATATGAAATTGATGTATGCATGCCGCGTTGTTTTTGTCAAAGATATAATTATTGATTTTATTTGAAAAAAATTTGTACTAGAATACGTAATACACATGTTTTATATTTACTTTAGCAAGTATAACCAGTTTAGTAATTACATTTTAGTGCAGTTTATCACAATGAATTTATTTTTATAGACTCATACACAGTACCTTCTGGGACAAATATATTACTTAATATTTACGCCATGCACCGAGATCCCAAGTTCTGGCCAAATCCAGAACTATTTGATCCAGATCGATTTTTACCAGAGAAGAGTAAAAATTATCATCCTTTTTCTTATTTGCCGTTTAGCGCGGGACCAAGAAATTGCATAGGTAAGACTGCATAATATTATATTTGTGTGTAATTTAGTTAAAGAATACTCTGCATTAAGAAACATATCAAAACCTTATCAAATCATCAAATAAAATACTATCATAGTTTTACCATATTTTTTTTGCTTAATAATTTGTTTTTAGTTTTACATATATTGTAATTTATAATATACAGGATGTTCCATATAAAGTGTTACGAGCTGTTTTCTCAGAATCTAATAAAGATATCAACAAAAATTTTTTTTTAAATTAAATGGCACAGTGAGGCTACTCTTCGTTTTTTTAGAAAAAACGAAAAAAATATTTTTTCTCCTTCTTTTTGCTTGCCTAATGTTTCTCATTGTAACAAATTTTTTGCAATAATTCCGCAACTATGTACAATAAAAAAATAGTTCAAGTAAATGTTATTTAACAATTAAGAAAATCTTTTTAAGGCTCTGAAGTTTTCCAAACCAAGTGATAAATATGGTCACTAAGAGCCTGGTTTCCAGGATGTTGTGCGGAAACGCGTGCGTATAGATATATATACGTATACGTATATATGTATAATTGTTCAACATGTAAATTTTTACACGTGAATTTTTGAATTGAAATTCAATTCTTAAAAATCATATAGGATGCTAATTTTTCGACGGCCCGGAAAGCCGGAGATTCCAGGTTCGACTCCTGGCTGAGGAGTTTTTTTCGCAATATTTTAAAAATTAATTAGGGGGGTATTCGGGATCTCTCATACATGAGATGCAAAATTAGCATCCTATATGATTTTTAAGAATTGAATTTTAATTCAAAAATTCACGTGTAAAAATTTACATGTTGAACAATTATACATATGTATATACGTATACGTATATATATCTATACGCACATTTCCGCACAACATCCTGGAAACCAGGCTCTTATTGACCATATTTATTACTTAAATGTTACTTAGTTTGATGACAACTATTAAAATAACCAAAAATTAATACCACTTTCCATTTAAAAAATTGTTGGGCGGCTCCCTTTCTTTTATAGCATTTGCTTTCAAAAAAATCTGTTATACACTAGAGAAAAGTAGCCTCACTGTGCCATTTAATTAAAAAAAAATTTTTGTTGATATCTTTATTATATTCTAAGGAAATAGCTTGTAACACTTTATTTAGAACACTCTGTATAAACTTTTTTGTTATTACAAATTGCAGGTCAACGTTTTGCACTGTTAGAAATAAAAGCTACACTTGCTTTTTTAATACACAATTTTTACTTAGAGCCTGTGGACTATTTCAAAGATACAGACGTAAAAATGAAAGTGACTCTTTGTCCTACTTATCCAATTCGTATAAGATTTGTTCCGATCGATACAAACTAATAATTCAATAAAAAAACTAAAAAAATTTTTATTTTAACTCTATTTGTCGCATGAAATAGAGTAATATAGATAATTTCTGCTATAATAAAAAACGTGTATAAATATTTCTTAATAGAAGAAATACACGCAGGAATCAAAGGGAAAAAGAAGCACATGTTTTCATTATAACAACATATAGAAAAAGATACATACACGTATATATTTACATATTATAATATATTACATAGTATATTTACAATAATAAAGTAATACAAAACTTACACTATGAGTCACTTATTATCCCATCCAATTGTAAAAAAAAAGTATGTTAATGCGTGATATCTTATAATAGTTGTAATACAGTGTAAAATCAGTTTCCACTATAAATTCTACCTGTATAAGAAACATAAATTGTAATATATATTTTATCAGAGAAGACAAGACAACCAGATACTTATTGTAATATGAATAGTAGTTGTAACGTTTCGCTTCGATTCCAAGTACTCGGGATGGCTCGCCGGGATAGGTAAATGAAAAGTAGCCGCGAACTCGTTTGCAATTGCTTGATAATAAATGTAATTTATTCAAAGAATTTACATCACAAAAGGAAAAGACAAGAAATACACAAATAACTTGCAAAAATACATACACGAAATTATATATATAACAATAAAAATGATGCAGAATATTTTACAATACCTCTCGGTGGAATCTCGCGTTCGTGCGTCGCGGTCGCACGTCTCTGCGTGTTTACTCTCCGGAAGGCTTAATTTCTAGTCCCGAGAGGGCAAGTGTTTCGCCGGGGCGCACTCGACAAAGAAGTCTGTGCTTCTCCCAGCCGTGGCTAGTCGCGTATCTTCGCAATGATAGGCGCGAGGCCCGAGAAAGGGAGACGCACGAAGTCCAAATATGGGCATAGATAGTCGAGCGTCATTATGCGCAGGCGCGTCTACTAAGCGAGTGCGAGCGAGACAAAGCATTGGAAAGAACGCGAGAAAGAGAAATGGCCAAACGTGCTTGAATGTTTACCGCATGCGCACAAAGCAGCTGGAGAGAGAGGCTACTATCAGAGAGAAATCTGAGAGCGGCCATCCTATTGTAATTTTTTACGACGGTTTCAACCGCTGGTTTTAGCCGTATTTCCACAAAAGTGGAACTCAAAGGCCGTTCTCTATGAAACTCAAGTCACAGGTCTCGTGGAACTGATCAATCACGTTGGTCGATTGGCTGATTTGACTCTGCAATTGGTCAATTCCACGAGATCTGCTACTTGCGTTTAATGTAGAACGGCCTTTGAGTTCCACTTTTGTGGAAAGACGGCTAAAACCAGCGGCTGAAACCGTTGTAAAGGGTCGTCTACAATGGAGAGTTGTAGGCCGTAACAGTAAGAAATTGACAAATCACAATCGATTATTCTTCTGTACTTTGTCTGTGATTGGTCAATTTCTTACTGGGTGCGTTCAGACAACTCAACGGTTGAGAAATCATCACTTATGATAGGACTATTCTTCAAAATCTGATTTGGTTCCAAAAGTATGATCCAATCAGAAGTGATTATCTCTCAACCGTTGTGCAACTGTTGAGTTGTCTGAACGCACCCACTATTACGACCTACAACTCTCCATTGTAGACGGCTCTTTACAGTTCAACTATAGGATTTCAATGCTTCTGTTATATTCTGTTATGCTTATGTTAATAAACAGAAATATTAAAATCTTAGGCCCGCATAAACCAGGCCTTACTGACAGTACTAAAAAATCTATATACAGAATGGGGCCTTAAGGCCTGGTTTATGCGAATTGAAGATTTTAATATTTCTGTTTATTAACATAAGCGTAACAGAATATAACAGAAGCATTGAAATCCTATAGTTGAACTGTATTAATTCCGGCATAAATTAACAGTTATTACTCGCATAAACAAGACCAAAACAAGGCCTTATTTGCCAGCATAAACCAGGCCTAAAGAGCCGTCTACAATGGAGAGTTTTAGACTGTAACAGTAATAAATTGACAAATCACAATCGATTATTCTTCTGTACTTTGTCTGTGATTGGTCAATTTCTTACTATTACGGCCTACAACTCTCCATTGTAGACGACCCTTTAAGACGCAAATGTAGGTCGCAAGTAGCAGGTTTTGCGGAGCTCACCAATCACGTTGACCGATTGACTGATTCGATTAATGTGATTGGTCAATTTTGTGAGACCTGCTATCTGCGATCCGCTTCTGCATCTTATAGACAGGCCTTAAAGTTTTTTATTACAGTTGGTAGCAGTGCACAATTTAACGTTGCTAGCAATTTGAAATTGAAGTTTGTTGATCTTTTCTCAAATCTTGATTTTTCTCATCGGTTTTTCTTACCTATCTGCCTATCTGCGAAGAAGAATGGTGTATAATAGATTTTGATGGCTCAGTAAGCTGCTACAAACCAAAGCTACTTACATTATTTTTGTGTTTCTAAACAACTATTTCCGCATTTACATGATATAAAATAAACGTCGTGCAATTTCATGTTCGAGTTGTATCTAAATGTAAGTACATGTTTACGTACACACATACAACGTAATAAAAATTATCTATTACTTGTTTTGTAAAAGAGCATTATGATTATATGTAAACTATATATAAACTATGATTTATATATAAATATATTAACAAAACCAACTTTGAGAAACTCTCTAAGTTTTCAAGAATATTTGTTTATTGTTTTATTGTTTTAACATAAGAGTAACATTTATTTTAGAACTGAAAGAAGATAAGAGAAAGGTTAAAAAAAATATGACATCTCATTGTATAATAGACTCTGTGAGCAATTCGCAAGATTTTACATTGCAACTCTCTGACAGCTCTGCTAATGAAGATACAACTAATCTTGGAGCAAGAAAGAATAAAACTGATGTAATTGTGATCAGTGATTCTAATAGCAGTAGCAGTAGTTTTTCATTTTCCTATGTTAGGAGATTGAAACATTTTCCGGTTGATACAAATACAATAAAACAAAACTATCAACTAAAGAAGAACTCTTTTTTGAGAGACAATGATGAAAATATTGCTACTATACGGCTTGATGGAAGTTTATTTTATACATCCGATGAAACTGACAGCAGCAGCAGTAATATAAAGCATGACAAGAAAGAAAAGAAGAAAAATAAAGCAAACAAATCTGCCACCAAATTGCCACTTGTAGAGCAAAACCCGACACCTAGAGTAATAAAAGAAAGGTCTTATAATGAGAAAATGAATGTTATTAATAATGCTGCACAAATACGGTCCAATATTCTTAGAGAATTAAATATGTCAGTATTACGCAATACTCATCAACGAGATGATACAGTACAAAAGCTTACAAAGCAAGATACTCATAAAATTTTGCAAAATATAAAATCTACACAACTGGTATATAATTCTCCCAGACAGAAAAAAGAAACCAATGTTATAATTGACGAAACTATAAGTACGGATGAAATTCATCCAGCTATATCACCCAAGAATAATAGAAAATCTATATCATCTGATAACAGTGATCCTGATGTTATTCATACAAGTATAAATGAAGTAATTTCTGATTCTAAGCCAGACTTGTCAAGATTTAACATGAAAAGTAAATTATATTTACAAAAACAGGTAGATTTTAGACCTTTGTCTGAAAGAAAGAAAAAACAAATTGTGGAATGGCTTATGACAAATATGACTGATTCTCAAAGTGACAGTACTTTCAGCCATGTGCCTCCAAGTACCAGAAACAGCATAGATTCTGGTAATAGTAGTTTAGAGAGATTGGAAATGAATTATGAAACTCCAAATAACAGAGGAAAAATCAACACGGTGCAGATAGATGAGACGCAATCTGTAAATTCAGAAAACGATTCGTATTCTCCACAACATCAAACTCCACAAAACAAACATGTGATTCAAAACTCCACAATTAACAACTCTGAATTGCATACTCCAGATACAGTAAAACATCTGCCAAAAGCATACACTGAGAAAAAAAACATCCATCCTGCAGAAGTAAATACACCAAAAAATATAGATATAATGGATTGTGCAGATATCTTGGACAAGTTATATGGAGCTTCATGGAGAGACAAAGCTAATGCATTATTACCAGCAACTGAGCCAAGAAAGACATCTCTTCAAACAAATATGGCTGTCCAAACAAAGCGGTGATTCTGGTTTTTAAGCATATGTATATATATATAATGTATATAATATACATATATGTATGTGTTGTTAAAAAATATATATTATTAGAAAATACATATGTATATATTATATTAATTATATATATATTAACAACCTAATAACACACACACACACACATATATATATATTTATGTACATATAATAAAAATACTTTAAAAATTTGTTTTATTATTACAGGAAATTTTTTAGTACCAGAAGACTTAAAGAATTAGTAACAAAGAAAAATTATATAAAAGACTCTGACTCAGATAACTCAATTTCAGGTAAAGATCTATGTCATATAATTTATTAAAATTCTTGCTCTATGCTGTTAATATAAAGTTTCTTTTCGAATATTTTATATTGCAGATCAAAGAGACATCAAATCAGATCGAAGAAAACACATTCAACGTATTCAACGGAAGTACAAAAAACATGATAGTTTTATTAATGATGAATCATCATCAAGTGATACCGAAAGTGTGTACCATACTGCATTGACAAATCCTAGAACTTCTACCAATAGCACGGCATCTAAACCAGTATCAGCTATTGTCAAACGGTATCCTTATATTATAAGACAGTGAATTAAAACACACCCATTTACATTAGGGCAAGGGAAAGAGCGATTTTTCTTTTTCTGCAAAAGAAAAATCGTTTTCTTTTAGCAGGTGTCGATCGTTTGTTGACAATTTGTAATAAACCAATGCATAAAAGAAGAAACGTCTTTTCTTCACGCAACACGCGTATCGATATTCGTCAGTGTAATTGTTATTTGTTTTTATTGACATTGAAATTAATAGAATATTTTTTATTTTGTTGATATACAGAGTTCAGATATTATGCGATACGGATGAAGAAGATGAAGATAATACATTCAATCGTAATGATAAGACTTTGCGCGCAAGAAAATTATCATTTACCGACGACGAGAGTTCTCGAACGAGTGAATTTGATCCTGAAGATTTTGTGCTGCCAAAAATTACAAGCAAAAAGAGTAATGAATATAACAAAATTATTTTTTTTTTTTTAAACTAATGTAAAAGTAAAAAAAAAATGTTTTTAGCTCCCAAGACGCTATTATCCAGGGCAAAAGACAAGTCCGAATTTTCAAAGGAAAAAAATACAAACTATAAGAGCTTCTTAGCATCTTTATCAAATACAGTCCCGATACATAACGCTCATCCGGATGCAAAAATATATAGACTGAATTACATAAATAGCAAAGAGGAATTGTGTAAAAAATTATATAAACTATATAACGAAAAAGTATTCGACAACAAGCTGCCGAGTGACATGTTGATTGAATGGAATGCTCGTATGAGAGGAACTGCCGGGTTTTGTTATAACAAAAAAGTAGTTCGAAGCATCAGCGGTATGACCAAGTCTTCGAGAATTGTATTGGCAACAAAGGTTTGTTTTATTTATTCTTCACATATAGGTAAAAGTATCAAATCGATCAAACGTAATTATGATTTCTTAGATTTTAGATGAACCAGATAGACTAAGAGATACTTTAATTCATGAAATGTGTCATGCTGCAGCTTGGCTGATAAATGATATTTCTGATGGACATGGACCTTATTGGATGGCATGGTACGCAATTATAAAATGATATTTTAAAAATAACCAACGGCTGCGTTCAGCAAAACTCAGCGCTTATAGCAACAAGAGCTTTGCGATTGTTGCTTGTCATTGGCATATACTTTCATATATCAAATAGATTTGCAGGAAGAAGCTAATCAGACAAGAAGACGCGCAAAGCGCTGAGATCTGTTGAACGCAGCCAATAACTCTTGAATATATAATTGAAAAAGTTACTTAAAAATGTATAGCGGTAATAAATACAAGCCGAAATTATTGTACTAATACTCATTATTATTAGCTAAATTTCTATAGAAGTGTTGTTTGCATTATAGGGCTACGAAAGCAATGAAGATATTTCCCGAGTTACCACCAATTCGTCGGTGTCATGATTACAAAATTAAAACCAAGTTTACATATAGATGTACTAGTTGCGGCTACAGGTTAATTATCAATTAATAATTTTATCAATTTATTACACAATTTATTTCTTTTATCTTTACAATCTTTTTTTTGTGTATTACAAAACTATGTTGTGTACATATTGCAGTATTGGAAGGCATTCTAAATCATTAGATACCGAGAAAAGCCGATGCGGTTACTGTTTTGGAAAGTTTGAATTGTTAATCAACAAAAAAACCAAGTCCGGTACTGTACAAATGCAAATGCTGAAGAAAGAACCCTCTGGTTTTGCTCTTTATGTGAAGCAAAATTACAACTTGGTGAAAAAAGAAAAAAGTAACATGAAACACGCTGATGTGATGAAAATTTTAGGTCAGCAATTTTCAGCCATTAAAATAGCAAACAAAAATCATGTAGCTATTCCGAATGATTCACAATCATGTAAAAGTAGTGAGACAGATAGATAAAAAATATTTAAAATATTTATATCGTGTGCATGTGTGTGTGTGTGTGTGTGTGTGTACACACACACACACACATATATATATATATATATATAATACACATACAGATAGTAAAATATTTTTTATAATACAATAGAATATTTTTTAAGATTTTTATATAAATTTTTGATTGTAATGTTAAGAGGATACTGAATAATAGCCAAACTCTATAGAGTTTCTAGAGGTACTTAAATTCTTTAATTAAATGCCTTTATTTTTTTTTTAATTAAAGGCCTTCTCATTTTATTCACTGATTATGGAAATTTTTAGATTTGATAAAGTGTTGGTTTGCAACATCCTCTTAAAAGACTGTCAATTTTATATCTACATTTTGAGATTTCTATATAACACATTTGTTATCTTAATACAATTACAATATAGAAGTGAGACATAAGTGAAAGTACGCACATATAATGTTATATTTTATGAAGACTGATATTTTTTTAATATTGCAGGCAAAAGAACTCAAAAATGAATTTTATAAAAGTTTATATATTTAGGGGACGCGTACTAGATCTCTTTCTTATTATTATTTCAAAAGATGTACAATAGTTTTTATTACTGAATACATTTTTGTGTAAATGGAAACACTTTGTGTATACTTGTTGTTGTATAATTGTGTAAACTTGAACAATATTGAGTGATAAGACTATATCAGAATCGAGACAAAATCAATAGACATAATAAAATATATTTAAATGTATTGTCTTTAAGTATTAAACAATATTGTGTATTAAATATATATATATATATTCTGACTGAGAGTTTACGATCTTATCACATGTATAAAAAAGTTATCGTTATTTTTTAATGTTTGATTCGACGTCATTAGCGTACAGAGGAGTGCACCATATCGTTCCGCTCCAGGGGAAGTATTTCTCAGAAATTTCTCTTCCGACTGTCTCTACTACCGCGCGTCGTTTTCCTTCAATCTCGGGCCGCTGGCGCGGAGATCGAAAAAGTACGGCGCGCGGTAGTAGAAGCAGCCAGAAGAGAAATTTCAGAGAAAAACTTCTCTTGGAGCGGAACGATATGGTGCACCCCTCTGGGGTACGTTCCAGAATCCTACCTTGGTTACTAAAACGATATATTTTGCGTCACGTGTACTATAGTTTTCGGTTACCAAGGTAAGATTTGGAACGTATTCCTGTACGTGTGCAATCGTGGTCAAACGGATGTCACCCAATGCAGCCATTGGCTGCATCCAGCGGGTGTCCTGCGCATAATCGTCCTATCTTCACTGCCCGTTTTTCTCCTCCTATACAGGGTGATTTAGAACAACCCGTTATGCTTGAAAATACATATTTTTGAAATAAATTAACTAAATTCTAAGACAACTTTTTATTTGATAAAAGTTTGTCTGAAGCTTACTTTTTGAGTTATTAATAAAACTAGTTGACTTATCACGAGTCAGATACAAGAGGTAGGCAGGAGCGGCGAAACAGGGGCCTGCGGCCTGTTCTACAATACAGTCGCAAGAAATTGACCAATCACAGATAAATCACAGAAGAATAATCGATTGTGATTGGTCAATTTCTTACGACTTACAGCTTACGACCGTATTGTAGAACAGGCCTAAGACCGTAAGACGTAAGAAAATTGACCAATCAGAAATTTACGTCCGAAAGTGATGGCGACATAGTATGCATTCTGATTGGTCAATTTTCTTACGGCTACGCCTTATGGTATTAAGTGATTTTATGTGTGATAGCCTTAATAAAGGTCCTTCTATACAATGAGATATTAATAATAAATAGAAGTCAGAAGCAAGAAATTGACCAATCACAGTCAAATCACAGAAGAATAATCGATTGTGATTAGTCAATTTCTTGCTTCTGACTTATGATTTATTACTAATATCTTATTGTGTAGAGAAAACCCTTTAACTTTGACCAATGCCACAAAAGTTACTACTGTTTATAATTCAATTATGAACGGGAGTACAAGTTTTCTTAAGAGCCGTCTACAATGGAGAGTTGTAGGCCGTAACAGTAAGAAATTGACAAATCACAATCGATTATTCTTCTGTACTTTGTCTGTGATTGGTCAATTTCTTACTATTACGGCCTACAACTCTCCATTGTAGACGGCTCTTTAAGTAACCAAGGTAGGATTTTAGAACATACCTGCGCACAACAAAAGGTAACCACGCAAAGCGCGCCGGGCTGTTCACAATGCACGCTTAATCGCGAAGTTTTGTTAATTAAGATCTCGGTAACTATTGCGAATTTCGCAAAATGACATAAGACTTTTCGACTCGACTTTTACTCCTGCTCCTACCTACGAGACATGTTACATCAATTGTCGGACACCCTGTATATATAGGGAAAAAATATTAATCGTCAAAATGTGATTGCATTTACAAAGAGTATATTACAAATTATATTATAAACGGTTATATATAAATTATATTAGATTATAAATTATATTAGATATAATTAGAGATAGATTATAAATTATATTAGATAACGGTTATATATAAATTATATTAGAAACATATCGCTACATTCGAGCAATAATATTTATACAACATACAATGATGTAAACAAAACTTTAATTGGCATCGAAAAAATTTCGTAAAATGCGTTTTTTTTCAAAAAAAAAAACTGCTATAAACTTTTGCGCCACTTGAAAGAAGAAAAAATGAACGTTATTTAAATAAACGTTTTATCTATATTTACTGTAATGAACAAGCAATTTTATGCGTCATCCATACGCCGGTACACAAAATTCGGAAAACGAAGATTACAAATTTTCCGGCGCAAAGCTGTTTGTTTCGAATTTGTTTATTTTAATTTTGTGTCGTTTAATATATGACTTTTGCAACATCTTTTTGAAACGGCTGTTTGATCACCGTATGATAACGTGCGAGATAAGTTATAATGATTAATTTCAACTATGTTTTATAATTTCATTCTCTCCGTTTCGAGTTGTCATCACAACTGCCAACCAGGGTACCGATTGTGTATTTATGCGAAGTAGTGAAAATTACAAAAGTGAGAAAATTTACTAAAATATATCTGTGATTTTATTAGTCGACAACCAGTAAACATTCTCACTTTTGTCATTTTCACTACTTCGCATAAATATACACAACATCGGTACCCAGATACGAATGCTCGATGATCCGCATCCGATGCGTACGTCGTTGCACAAAATGTGCGGCGGCAGCGTCGCGACGCGTAAGTGGCGCGCTCTAAAAACAGTCGGGCCAAAGATGGCGACGTGTGAACGGCGGCGTCCGCGCGATGTTTAGTTAGGGGATAGAGAGAGTGAGAGAGGGTACGATGTTGCCGCGGTCGCAGTATCCGCAGTGTTTCCGTAATCTGCGTTAGGCTCAGTGCAAATGTAGGAATGTCAGAGGCGAAACGGGTACCCCTGCAGACCCTGGAGTTCCCGGAGTCTCTGGGCCATGCGACGAAGAAGGAGAAAAAGGGAAACGGCAAGCAGCTCGCGCCCTCCTTCCGCTTCACGCTCACCCTGCCGGAATCAAACGAGAAGACATGCCCCGAGTTCAACTATGCACAACTCCTCAAGACGGCCGAAGTAAGTTTGTTCTGTTACGGTTGAAAAAAAAAAAAAACGTTTTTTGTGTTTCTGTCGCCGCGCACAAGATGAAGAAACAAAAGACCCAGCGTATGTCAAAGACTCTCCCCGCGGGTCTGAACACGCGGGTCGTGCGGGAGGAAGAGAGAGGATCCCTCGTGTGCCCGCGCGTCGATCGGTCGTTTTCGTGTCGTGTGTGTGTGCGTGTGTGTGTGTGAGTGAGTGAGTGAGTGAACGCGAGGCGTGAAGGAATTTTGCAACGTTTGACGAAACGTCCCCGACTTCGACAAGGTGGCCATCGGTTGGAATCGGTTGCCGCGACTGTCACGCGGCTCGTTTCGCGCGACATCTCCGCGTGCTTCAAACCGCGTTTGATCTCCGCTCGCGTGTGGATCTCTAGATAATAAATATTGTACACACCTTGTATTCCGTACACGTCCTCTCGGCGCCCGTATTCGATTTTCGGGCGAAAACACAGTTTTTTGATCGATTGATAAAAGTCTCTCTTTTCGCCGCGAATGTCGAATTCGCTCGCTGTCAACGTCATCATCGTCGTTCTATGCGGGGAGAGAGAGCCCAACATATGCACACGCGCTGTCACGAGGCTGGAAACGCGCGTCCGGTTTTTGGATCTCGAAGACACTTCTCCTCCTCTCACGATGTTTGCGTGTTTCTCTTCTTCGTCTCGCAGTTTCTTTGGTGGAATCGTAAAACGTCTTTGCGGGAGTTGCCATTGCGCGACAACACCGTCCGGCATTGCATCTCTTATCGTCTTTTTCTTTTTTTTTTTTTGTATTTCTGTCTTCGTTCTCCTCGAGAAACAAGGACAAAAGAGAAGGAGAGAGAGAGAGAGAGAGAGAGAGAGAGAGAAGTGAGAGAAAGAAAGATAATGACGGCGATGCCTTGTTCGTGTGTGCAGTGTGTTTGTCTATGCTGGTCTATTTCGCAAACCATGTATATTCCCTTAGACGGGCTTGTCCGTACATGCGAGAGAGAGAGAGAGAGAGAGAGAGAGAGAAAAAAAAAAGATGTACCAGAGAAAGTGCGACAGGATAGAGCGAAGAAACGAGGGAGAGGGAAAAAGGAGACACATGCGTGCGACAGGGGATAAACGTGTCGCGTCGAGTCTCTTATTTCACACGCGTGAGAGCATGTGCGGGCTCTCCTTTCTGAATTGTAGATCGATGCACCGGAGGAGACTCGTGACCGCCAGCACGTATTCAGTGCGTCGCCCGAGACATATGTCACGCTTGCTCCCTCTTCTTTCTCTCTCTTTTTCTCTCTCTCTCTCTCTCTCTTTCTCTTTCTCTCTCTCCGTGTATTGTGGAACAACGACGAGACAAAAACAAAAATTCCAAAATTCCAAAATTCAAAATGTATCTCATTTTTTGATAACGAATAATTAACAGCAAGATCCATTTTTTTTTTTTTTAATCAAAAACGATAAACACATATTTGTATAAAAACTAATATTATATATGTTATTTATATAATGTCATGTATATGTGAATTAAATATATATCACACGTTTCTACATATGTAATTAGATATAGTTTACGAAACACGTTATATGTGTATTGATATATACAGTAGTATTATTTGAAGTAAATATAAAACTAAAACAATTACAAAAACGTAAAAAAACGCGTAAGTAATAGAAAATTATTTTTTATCGATAATTTTATTCTCTTGCTACTTTGTTTTGGTTGCGCGCACGTGTTTCGAAAAATGGTTGCAAAACACCGACGAATCACATGCCACGGAATAGCGAGGCGCGCAGTTTGAAATTTTTCAATGTAAAAAAAAAAAAAAATTAGCCAATTGTCTACCCCTTAACAAATATATCTTATTGCAAAATTTTTATATTTACCATTTGCAAGAGCACAAAAAATTTTTATATTTACAATTACGAAATTAAATAAGTTTTTTTATTGTGCTTTTTATCTCTCAAGCTTTTTATCTAATCTTGAATAACGATTAAGTTCTACATATGCGTACAGGTATATGCAATCGCAAATTCGATAAACATGTGACTCGCTTTATAATCACATACACACACGCCCTCTCTCTCTTTCTCTCTCTCTTCTATTAGTTTTTGTTTTTTAACAATTTATTTTTTTTCTATATCTGCCAATTGTTAAAAACTTTTTTTTTTCAGACAAGTTTAGCATTTTTTCAAGCGCGGGAAGCGGAAAGTGAAAGTATAATGAGTAACTCGTGCAATTATTGATTGTAAATAAATTAATTAATTTATCTATGATGTAAGTCTATTTTAAAAGTGATCCGACACTTGCATTAAGAGTGCAATCGTTTCGATTATCAACATCGCTAGCAGGATCAATCACTCGATTTAGCGTCTCTATGCCGGGAGAATAGGAGACTGTAAGAGGTAGTTCTCGCGCCTATACCTCTCAAACGCTACGCAAAACGAAAGAGCGCGAAAGTGCAAGGACGACAGTCTTTCTTTCTCGCTCTCTTTCTTTCGCCGCAATATGCGCTCCTGATATCGGTGAACACGTCGAGTGAACGTGTCTTCTCAGAGTCAAATCTTTTCTCTCATCACAGAGAAAGTTTTTTACTATATATAATTTTTTCTTCTATTCGATTTTTTCTTCATTGTTTCAAATAATTTTTTACACACGTAATTTATTTATAAATACGTATCGCAAAGTAGTGTTTGATAACATTGTGAAAAAGCTCAGGTTTAAAGAAATAAAAAATGTTAAAATTTTTTAAACCAGTTTTTAATTTTTATCAAAAAAACATGCGAACAAATTAAATAAAGATGTTAAAACGTTTGTTTAATTTTTCTACAGAAAAAACGAAGGAAAGAACAAAAGAGAAGCGATGAGAATGCGACCAACGGACTGGACCCGTTCGATGATGATGATGACGAGGATAAGCTTAGAGACATGGCAAGACGATTTGAGGCAAAATATGTATGTTCAATTTGTATATAACGAGCAATATATATATAAATCAATATATAATGTAAAAAAATATTAATATTTACTTTCGCAAATGTCATTAATTATTAATTGTTAGCTTTATCGAGGTAACAATCAATAATTGTTTGATTTTATCACGATAACAGTCAATAATTAACGAAATTTGCAAAAATAAATATTAATATTTTTTATATTATATATATATATATTGCTTTAGGGAACATCTACCATGGGAAGAAAAAGACACAAGTACGAGGAGTACGTGGATTTGGGCGCGGGATATGACGAAAACGACTCCTTCATCGACAATACCGACGCTGTATGTGTGCAAAGCTAATTAACATTTTTATATAAAATATAAAAAGAAAAAGATACGATTTTTTTTCTAATGTAATTTTTCTCATATTTTTTTTTTCTATAGTACGATGAAATTGTACCCGAAGAGATGACCACAGCACACGGGGGTTTCTATATTAATTGCGGAGCCCTTGAATTCAGAGCATCCGACAGACATTCGTTAGTTCACAACAATAATAACAACAATAGCGACGACGAAGAGAGTAGCGAAAGCAGCGAGGAAGATACCGAGGACGTAGATAGTCCCAAACGGGAAGACAAGCGAATTATTAGCTCATCGGATGACGATGAGACGGAAGATAATACTGACAACTTATCAAAAGTAATTTGTCATAGTGATGTCAATACGCGATATGTTGTTAGTTTGAGCCTAATAAAACAAATAATGCGATGATTTTTTTTTTTTTTTACAGAGACGAAAAATAGAAGAAGGTAGTGAGAAAAAAGAGAATACTAAGAAAAGAAAAAAACCATCACAAAATCATCAGACGCAAGATGCGCAGCAGAATTCTCAGCAAGAACTTGATCTTTTGAGACGGAAAGAGAGAAGTGAGACAACAGATGCCGAAGGTGGTACAGGTAATGATTCTTGTTGTATTACTCTTTGATTAAAAAAAAAATCCTTTTTGGTTTCAATTTGTAGAACGATCTTGTAATTTTAGCTTCAGAAGATCAAGAAGAAAAGAAAAAGTCTGATAAACCGGAAAAAAATAAAGTAAATGAGAAGAAGTTCGATATTAAGAAGTTTGAAAAGAAATCGTCCAACAGCAATGGATACGACGCAAAGAAAATGGATCTCAAAAGATTGGGCAGTAAAGACAGCAACATTGATGACGCGATAGAAAGTGTCGTTAATGCGGCCAGAGGAGTTGAGGATGACTCGAGTCGCGACACAACGGATTCGGGAAAATCACGCGCTTGTATGTTTGCCGGTGAATCTGACGGAGAGGAGACCGAGAACAAAGAAGCATCGTTGCCTGAAAATCTTCCCGAAGATGTTAAGGAAATAGTGATTAAATTAAAAGTTCAAGCAGAAAACAACAAGGACAGCAAGAGTAAATTTTTCAACAGCACGGTGAACGATATACTTTTCAAGTGAGTTTTTATGTTATATAAACTTTTATAATTCATTAATAAAATATATGTATTAACCCCTTAACCCTACAATGACGGGCAGAGCCCGCGTACGATGGTCGGGCCAAACGTAAATATTACGGGCATAGCCCGCGTACGGTGATCGGGCCAGAAGTGAATATTACGTGGAATATTTGATATGCAATTACAGCCTGATGCAATAATTGTTTATTACAAAATGTTTATTTTTATACAAAAATCCAAAATACAAAATTAGTAATCTGTAACGGTATGATATAGTTCAAAGCATTCCTGTTGTTCGCGGCCCAACATCTTCGAATCTAAATCGTAGGTTAAGGGGTTAAGCGCAAAATAATGAAAAAAAAAAAAAAAAAATTTGCTAACATTCATTTCGCTTTTATATTATAGTTTAGAAAAGAAACTTCGGATGTTGAACTCGCCCAGCATAAGATTGCAAACTTATGGTCATCTAGTGCCCTTTTTGCCTTGTAGCAAAATGACTCTTCTTAGCAGAGCGAAAAAGCTTTACCTGAAAGACGCCGAGTACAGAGTGAACGAACCGATGCAAAAGTAATAAATTGATCTCTTAGCAACTATACATGTACAAAGTCTCGAATATATACAGGGTGTCTAAAAAATTTTGAATACATAGCCGAAGATATGGATTGGATCAATCTGAAGAGTCATTTACTATTTTGTGTATAAAAAATTTACAATATTTATTGGGTTATTAATTAATAAATAAGCCAATGAGAGCGCGTAGAAAGTGGTGATCCATTCTGTAGGCGTATGATTTTTAGTTGTTTCACTTGTTTCTTTAGATTCATGCAATGTTTTAACAGCGAGGGGCGAAGCAAACGAGCGCAAACAGCGTGTGACACAGCTTTTTGCGATCACAGTTGATTTTCATGGCAATACAACTGAGAATTTACATATACCTATCTACAGAGACTTATCTACTGGACCGTCGCTTTTTACTCACTCATTGGCTCACGTTAATTAATAGCTCAACAAATATTGTAAATTTTGCAAAAAAGTAAATTGTTTTTTCTGTGTTCAGATTAATTTAACTCTTCATACTCCGCTGTCAAAAGTAAATTTGTTTTTTTTTTTCTGTTCAAATTAATTCAACTCTTCATACTTCTCTGTCAAAAGTTTTTAGACATCTTGCATAAATAGATAAATAGATAAATAACAAATTTTATATATTATATAAACTTTTTATCTTATACGTATTTGATAGTTTTGATTTTAACTAAATTTGTTACATTACAGATTAAAAACTCTTATCGATAATGTCATGCCATCGGTAATGGACAAATATCTGAAGGAGTGTCAGAAAGTTGCTGATGAAAAGTAAGTAATTTTTATTTTATTTCAGATATATTAGCAGTTTAGTATATTTTGACTTTTATTCCAGATTTTTGCAGCAATTATACACTATTTTTACTTTAATAACAGATTTTTATTAATAATAATAAAAAAAAAAAAAAAAAAAATTCGTTATGTAATATATACTATATGTATTGAAAACTGTTGGGCATGTAACTAAAAATAGATATGCAGTTAAAAAAAACTTCACTTTGCCAGAGTTAGTATATACATATATAATTATAAGTTTTATAGTTCGTATAATTTCGTGAAAGTAAACTCATTGTAATTTTTTTTATTTCTCAGTCCTCAATTATACTGGGAGATATATCGGTACTGTTGGTAAGGTGCCCCTCGTTTTTAAGAGGAAACCCTTTCTATTCTCGCCTCTCCGTCTGCTCTCTTTCTCTCTTTTATCTTTCTCATTGTTTGGTTGCCTTTTTTTTATCTCTTTTCCCCTTTTTAATCTATTCATGCTTTACATGCTTTTGCTCTCTCAATTGTTACAAACATTCATTCGATCAATTCTGTTTACATATTTGAAAGCGTTTTTGTTCACGTACGAGAAGACATTTTCGTTGTTTAGTGATCATTGTACTTTATCGATCATTGTTGAGAAAGCAGAGGAAGATACGGGGCTTTTTATCATCAGTATCAATATTTAGTTTCATCACTAGCATCATCTTTTTGTATCGAGCAAAAAAAAAAAAAAAAAAAAAAAAAAAAAAAAAAAAAAAAAAAAAAAAAAAAAAAAAAAAAAAAAAAAAACCTGCATTTGACCTGAGACACAATTCGACGATTTAGGCGAAATTTGTTTAAATATCATGTTAGTGTGTCAAAAAAGAGAGAGAAGATGAAGATCGAGGAATTCTGTCGCAAAACAAATGCTGATCATCATTCTTTGTCATCGCGAAATCATGAATTTCGTAATCATGAATATAAGTATTATCCGAGTGTAATACTCGACTGGACGATTTCAGGGGATTCGAAGGATCTACCGCGGATGCGGAAAGCAGCGACGAAGAAGACGGTTCCTCCAAAAATACAGAAAAGCCGAAAATACCACGAAAACGATTTCCTTGGACTGACGAAACCAAGTGAGTTCTTAATATATTTTAGTATAAATGTTCACGTGTGTGTCGTGTTTTATATGTATATATACAGGATGTCCCAGAATTGGTGTAACATCTTTCTTAGACAGGTAGAAGGATTAAAACTGAGTCGAAGAGTCTTATACCATTTTGCTAGATTCGCAATAATTACCGAGATCTTAATTAATACACTGAGAAAAAAAAGTTGTTGAAGCAACAAAATAGTATTTGATTCAACTATATGCAGCTGTCACGGGCTGTCAATGAAATATTGATTAATGTAAAGAAGATATCATGTTTCAATAGATATAATAATTAGATTATACCGAAAGACAATTTATATATATATATATATATATATA